TGCTTATAGCTTGGATCTTCCATAGGAGCTCAGTCAGATTCATAACACTTTCCACATTTCGCAGCTGCGAAAGTGTGTATTGGAAGAGGATGCAATGGTATCATTGGATGATATTTAGGTTTATAAGCACCTGAACTATGTCGAGAGGCTAGTAGCTATTATGGATAGGAAGGTGAAGATTTTGCGTAACTAGGAAATATCTTTGCTGAAGGTACGATGACAACACCGGAGGGGCTCTAAGTGGACTTGGGAGCCGGAGGCTGAGATGCTGGAGCATTATCTGGATTTGTTCTCTGCAGCAGGCTTCGAGGATGAAGCCTAGTCCAAGTGGGGGAAAGTTGTAACATCCCGATTTCTAGGTATGAGATTTATTCTTAAAAAAAACAAGTTTCCCTTGGAACTCAGCGAGTTGATGGTCTCAACTCGGCGTGTTGAAAGGCTTTTGGTCCGCGCATCTTTGTGGACCAACTCGTCGAGTTGGTGAGGAGAATTCGACGTGTTGGTGGTTGGGTGAGAAACCCTAAATTTTAGGGTTTTGCACCCTATATAATCTCTTTAAGTCCTTAAGGCTGATCTTTTATCAGCCTCCAAACTCTCATATCAACCATTGTGAACCCTAAAAATCATTCCTTCTCATATTGTGAGCTAGTGTGACATTTTGGAGCAAAAGAAGAAGAAGTTTGGGAGAAGGAAGCAAGGATGTAGGAAGCAAAGCTCTTATCTTTTGTTTGAATCTCTTCTGGACCTTTGTAAGTGTTCAAGATCCAAATTTTATCTATCTATGTAGCTAGATCTTGAGTTTTGTCCTTTTTTCTCCTTATTCTTGGATGTTGCAATGGATGGACTTCATAAAGTTTGCAACTTTATGAATCTCCAGGTTAAGGTGACCTTATAGTGGGTTGGATATGGTTTTTAGCCAAGCCTTGATGCCATACATGGAGTTAAGTCATATTTTCCCTTTTAGACCCATTTTGGGTTCAAGACATGCGTTGGACATGCATGTCTATAAAGCACCAACCTTTGGGACGTTTTTGAGGCTAGAATCTCTTCTGGAAAAGTTGGGTTTCAGATCTCAAGGATTTTGTGCTTAATGGTTAAGCCCTTGAGTTTTCAAGCCTTATGGATGGGCTTTTGAGCATTTGGAGTAGCCCAAAAGGATAAAGTTGGAAACTTTATCCTTTTAGACACATTTGGAGTTTAGATCTGAGCCTTAGAGTCCCTGGAATTGAAGAATCAATTGAATGTATTAAGCTGGGGAAAACTCCGCGAGCTAGGTAGGGTTTTCCCGACCTTCTGAGTACTATAGAACCTCGACGAGTTCATTGGTGCACTCGATGAGTTGGGTCAACATGGACTGTTGACCTTGACCGTTGACTTAGACTTTGACCATGGTTGACCAAGTTGGACTTTTGAGGGTATTTTGAGTATTTTGGGATTTTGATGGGATTTGTCTAATGGTTGTAGGCATTGAGTCGGGAGCCGAGATTCGGAGTCAGACCTTGTCAGTTCTGCACTACTTGTGAGGTGAGTTGTCCTCACTGTACTTACGGGTCGAAGGCACCAAGGCCGACCCTTTGGATTGTTATCCTGATTATCGTATGATTGAGTATTGTAGTGATATGTTAGATCTAAATCCTGATAGATAGGATATGTTATGCTTATTGATCTGTATGATTTGTGGTTGTCTGTTGATTGATTATATGTTTATGAGTTATGTATATGTCGACATGCATGTGGTTGGGTTAAGGCGGTCCGGATTTGTACTGAAGGCCAACAGACCCAGGGCGGCCCGGATAGACTGAAGGCCTGTGAGGCGGACCAGTCAGGCCGAAGGCCCGGAGAACGGTCCAGACTGGTTGAAGGCCCAATGCGGCGGTCTAGACATGCTGAAGGTTCTGTATGCTTGCTATTGTTGTGATATTTATGATTATGTGTTGTGGTGGTATTTTGGGGGGAAACTCACTAAGCTTTGGGCTTACAGTTTTTTGATTGTGTTTCAGGTGCTTCAGAGGATCGCGGCAAGGCGAAGGCGTGATGATGCACCTCCTCATGTTCTTGTTTTATGATTTTGGGATTTCTCTGATGTGAAACTTTTTTTGAAAATAAATTGTAATCAATGATGATTTTGTGGTTGTTTAAAAAGTTAAAAAATTTTCAAAAATTTTATGAATGTTACAGTTTCAAAAGGAAGGGCCCGACTTGATCGCAATGCATCTCCTGGAGATTTATTCTACACTAAATGTTTACGTTTACTTAGATGTTCTGAGAATACTTTTATTCTGATTGTTTTTGGGTTAATGAATGAATGGTTTGAGTTATTTATAAATCAAAATTTTACTCGGTATTTTTGGGACGTTACAACGTTGGGACATAACTATATTAAGTGAACGCCATATGAGTAAAATACCTTAAGAAAAAGGAGCTAGGAGTTAGTCTTTAATCCGCAAACAAGATGCCTTAGGTAGAACCCCACCTTGCCTATTGGAGGTTCAAGAATAGAGGAATCAGAAGAAGGCAGTAAAAGACTATGCACAGAAGACAAGTGGTAATCTTGCACATACCGATCTAAAGAAAAGTTGTTAACGTTGGAAGAAATAGATGACATGTCAAAATCCATGGTAGGTAAAGACATGGAAGAAGTAGGAAGTACACAATAGAGAAGCTTCCAAAAATCTTATTATCCGATGTATAAAAATAAAGACCAAGTAAGTATTAATTAGGCAATCTAATCAACCAAGTTGAAGTGACTAACCGACTACTGCATTTTAATGAAGCCTACAACAGCTCACGCACGACGGTTCGTTTACCGAGAGAAATCGTAGTCTAAAAGGAAAAAAAATACCCATTTTTACCCTTCTGACTAGGGGGCTTAATTGTGTATCTGGTCGGCCAAAGAAGCAAATATCGAGCCGATAACTTCTAAACCCAACAACGAGAAGTACCTGCCAGTATGCTAGAACAAACCATGAGTTAATAGAATTACACATTAGGCAACCGTTGAAGGGCGAATATATCCATGAAAAATCGCAACGTACATATGCTCTTAATAAATAGATACAAAACAATACAAGGAAAATAGTTTTCTTTACCCGGATGATGCAACAAATCGGGTAAGAACTTGAATCGATGCGCCCTTGAAAGCTTATAAAAGCCAAGCATCACCAAAGAAATAAGATAGAATTTGTCTCTCAATAAGCAATATTGCAACATATACAATTGACATCTAACTTAGGCATCGGAGAGCAATATTGGGAATCATCCCTCAGTATCGCTTTCTAACCTAGCGTTTGTCTATTTTTGCATCGTGCCTTCCTGTTTGCGCATTAGAAAACCGGACGACGAAAGAGGCCACGTAGCAACAAGAAGCAACATCTAAAAGACAGAAACTCATAAACAAAACAAATAAAGAAGAACTAAATTGTGATACAAAACAAAATTAAAGAAACAATTCAACAATGCAGCGACAGAAAGACTCAAAGACTGAACCAATGAAACTGAAGCATTTACCTTATATGTGAAGGTGAGAAACAAAAATAATTTTGAAATATTAGAACGTGAGTATCTGATTTATGAATGTATGTTGTATGATTAGATTTTTATAAGGCTAAAGCAATGTTAGTTGGCGATTGTGAAGGTGAGAAAAAAATGTAATATTTGAAATCGGAATCGTGAGTTCGATTTGCAACGCTGATTTTTGAAGGGTTAATGACCTAGAAAGGTAACCAACTTTGGTATTTGTTTACATTTAGGTAACCATGTTTTTTCGTTCACATTTAACCATTGAACTTGTTTGACCTGTTCAAAATAAGGTAATATGACTGGTAATTATGGTAATATTACCTTATTATGAATAGGTCAAACAAGTTTATTGGTCAAATGTGTACGAAAAAACATGGTTACCTAAATATGAACAAAAACCAAAGTTTCTTACCCGTTTTGGTAATATTGTACAAGAACCGTCTCAAGGACTGTGCCCTGGAATCAGGCTCCGACACTCAATGAACAATTAAGTTAGGCTTGGTCTAACCCAGTTCAGTCCCGGCTAGTCATGGGCTAGGCTGTGTTGCTAGATCTTTAAAGTACATACAGTCTAGCCCCTTAAGCGTATACAACCTAAACCCTAACTAGCTGGGCCTAAAATGGGTTGGCACAAGACTTGACTATCTCCTCATACACAAAGACCGGACAACCCAATTTCATGTCACATCAATGGATCTTATGATTACCTGCACTTAACATAAAGAACCCAATATTACCAAAATGGGTAAGGAACTTGGTTTTTGTCCATTTTTAAGTAACCATGTTTTTTTCGTACACATCTGACCAGTAAACTTGTTTGACCTGTTCATAATAGAGTAATGTTACCGCTAATTACCAGTCATATTACCTTATTATGAACAGACCAAACAAGTTTAATTGTCAAATGTGTACGAAAAAAACATGATTACCTTAATGTGAACAAAGACCAAAGTTCGTTATCTTTCTAGTTCATTAACCCATTTTTGAATGAATGTTTGTGAGACGGTTATAGGGATCCGAAACGATTTATGAGACTATTATAGGTATCCAAAACGATTTATTTTCCATATTCAGTTGATAATGAGATTAAATAATCTTATTTGCTTTACGGTTTCGTCTTGTCCAATCCAATTCTAAAAATAAACAATAATTTTATGTTTTGAACTTGTCACACCATATTTTATATTTTGTTTTTTGTATTTTGTTATTTTCAACATATATCTCAAGTAAAATTGGTAAAATAAGTATTATCCATTATTTCTCATTTTTTTAAAATGAGTCCAATACACACACTGAAACGTACGTGCGCATACACTTTGTTTCAAACGCGTGATAGGAAAGTGGAAACATATTACACATGGAAAATACAATAATACTTCTGACTAGTACTTTAAATTCTCTCTATTTATAGCTTTCTAACCCTCTTCAACCCCAAACGAGAAACACTACAATTATTCAGTTTTTTGATCTCGAAATCCCTCATGGGTACGATCAAAATTCTGCCTTTTTGCTTCTTGTTCGCCGGAATCTTGTTTTTCCGACCAACCACCGCCAGATTCATTCACCTTTCTGTTACACCAGATATAAAGTCTTATGACTCCGATCCAGCTTTATCAGCTCCTGTAGACTCTTCATCTTCTTTGGTTCCGGCACCAGCACCATCGCTGGAGGTGGAGGAGAACGGCGAGAGTGGTGGCCAGGAGGTTCATTCGGAATACCATCATCATCACTCCTCGGATAAGTCTGTTGCCGGCGGAGATGTGATAATCGGTGGCCTTGTCACGGCGGTTTTCGGCACGCTTTATTGCTACATTAGAGTTACGCGTAGAAAAGATGGCGAAAAATGAAAAGCATTAAAAGCTTCGGTTTTCTTTTATCCTTTTCTCTGTTGAGCTTTTAGTTTCGGGTAAATATGGCTATGAAAACTATATTATCATACTTACCATTTGATTAATATATGATAATGGTTTTTATTTATTTATTTATTTTTTATTTTTAGATGATTTCTTTTTGGATTTTGCATTATAACGTCACTTGAACAAAAAATAGGTTTTATTTTGTCATTTAATCATATTGTGATCATTAAAAGGTACAGCTTCGCAACACTTTATTGCTACATTAAGGCCACACGTAGAAGGGATGGTGAAAACCATTTAAAGTGTCGACTTTTTTTATAATCTTTTTTTTTGGTCGACTTTTTATTTAAGGAAATATACGGCCATAAATAATACTGTAAAAGTTTAGCCATAAAAATTTGAAATGAACAAACATGATAGAACAAGTGAAGTAATAGAATAAGTTAATCATATTTTGTTCTTATGTTTAGTTGGCTAAGTTTATCACTCTTATAGTCCTATTAGATAACCAAAACAAAGATTGCATGACAATGAAATCCAGTTGCATAGCCTTTTCGATTTGACCATTCCAAAAATCATATGAATTATGAAATCTTCATATCGCCTAATAAATCGTAATAACTGCATGTTAATTTTTCTTTTGCAAAACATTGAGCTTTTGTTGTGTAACTCAAGTTTGCAATTCACCATCATTGGTGACCGATGCCATATTCAATCGCCACCAAGAAGCAAGTTTTTTCCATATCCCAACGTCATGTTACAACTTGTCAACTTACAAGTGAAAAAAGCATGATCCAAAGATTCAACATCCATACCGTAATTGTTACATAGAATGGAGTCAGATGCCTTTATTATTAAGGTTAACTTTGACATGAAGTTTTTTCAACTTCAATCCCTATTCACCACTAAAGTGATTTTGCCAATCAATTATCTTCATTAAGTTTAAATGGAAAATCCAAAACTATGCATTAGATGCAGAACACTCTGGTGGGGGAAGTAGAAAGTTTCCAAGCACTCATGAACGTGAAAGCCTTTCAAGAGGTCGAAGGCTGCCCAATGATCTTCATGCGATACCTTGGGGGATTAAAAATGTTAATTGAATTTACCGATGTAAAAGAGAAAGAGGATTTCCTTATTAAAGGAGAAGAGATCTGGAAGCCATGGTTCAAAAAATTAGATCCTTGGTCAATAGGATGCAATTTCAATGATCGGATTGCATCACTAATTATACAGGGGGTTCCTCAACATGCTTGGTGTGAAGAAGTTTTTAGTATCATCGCTAGCACTTGGGGAAAGGTAGTTATTCCAGAAGAACGCATCACTGATTCTCCTAATCTTGCTTTTTGGGAGGGTTGGAATAATCACATCTCATCCTGGTCTCATCAATACTGCAATTACAATAATGGTGGATGGTAGGCCATACGTGATCAATATCATGGAGGATTTGTTTGAATCACTTAAACTCAGCCCTGTCCTAGCAGCCAACGACTATTACCCCAATACGACATGGTGGAACGAAGCTGATACATGCGATAATATCAGTAGTAATGGTGAAAGTGCAATGCAATCGGATGATGATGAAGCTACGTCGGTAACATCTCCGGTGAGTACCGACCGGAGACATGATCTGAAAAATTACAGGGAAGACGAAGAGACCCACGTTAGTAATTCATTCACTGCTCCCGGGGAAGTGGCACACATTCTCAATGCTAATGACCGTTCGAGAGAACATGAAGCGACACAGCCGTTAATCCTAGGGAGTACGTATCCAGGGACTTCTTCACCTTTGGGCCAGAATAGATGTTGCACTAGAAACTCACCAATAAAACAGATTTCTCGATCTAGGCCCACAAAATCGCTGGATCTTAATCATGTTCCTTCCCGTTCTAATTCACCCCTCCAGTCTAAAATTTCTGGCGATGACTCTAGAACGCTCTTAGCTGCCCAGAGAAAAAAATCCTCCCCTTTCTCCTTCTTCACTGAACTCTTTTTCTAACCCCTGTGAGGATGGTCCAAACGAGGTGAGGCAATCTCAAACTCAATCAGGGGATTCGAACTCCACTACCTTGGAGATAGTTAAGACAACTGAGGTGGGGGAAAAACTGGGTTTCCAGGTTAGAAATAGTGCTGAGCAACTTAGGAAAATGATCAAGGCACGTGGAGTAACAATTGTGGATCAATGAATATCTTCTCAAACAATATACGTGGAATCGGGTGTGAAGTAAAAAGGGGTTGGCTAAAAGATTCTCGACAACAAAACCATTCCTTTTTTGTAGGGTTGCAAGAAACGAAATCAATGGAAGTTAAAGGGTGTCTAGATAAACAAATTTGGGGATCATCTAATTTCCAATGTGAAGTAGTTGACCCAGTGGGATTTTCAGGAGGAATTGCTTCTCTTTGGGACCCCACTTTATTCAGAGCTTCAGATGCTATAAAAGGTGTTGGCTTCCTTGCTATTAAGGGGTTGTGGTTAAAGTTAAAGAAGAAATGTGGTTTTATTAATATTTATGCCTCACGGGAGCCTAATGAAACGAAGATCCTATGGAATAGACTACATGATCTTATTACATCTGATCCTCAATGTATGTGGTTTGTGTTTGGCGACTTTAATGCAGTCCATTTTCCTGAGGAGAGGCTTGGGTCAGTATTTTGCCCAAATGGAGCATATTTCTTCAATAAATTCATATATTCTGCTGGCCTGTTGGAAATTAAGATGGGTGGTCGTCGTTTCACATATATGAGTTCAAAAGGTGATAAACATAGCAAGTTAGACACATATTTGGTTTCCAAAAATGTTACTGATACTTGGCCCCACCTGAATGTTATAACATTTCCACGAATTCATTCAGATCATTGTGCTATCGTTCTATCTTCAAATCAATTAGATTTTGGACCGCATCCATTCAGGTTCTTTAACTCATGGCTGAAAGAGCCTGGTTTTGAAGAGGTACTTAAGGATGGATGGACCATTCGTGAAAAATCGGGAAGCTGTTTACGGTTATCTCCACTCTCTATTGTCGCTGGAAAACTAAAAAACTTGAAGGAACACATTAAAAAATGGAGGAAAGAACTCATAGAGAAAAACAGAAAAGAAATTGAGGAGCTCACCAACAAAATAAATTCCATTGATTTACAGGCGGAGGAGGGTAATGTAAATGATGAGCTAATAAAGTGCCGCCAGTATGCATATCAAAAAATTATGGAATTTGAAGCAAGACGCATTGAGGATTTAAAACAAAAGTCAAGAACGAGGTGGGCACTAGAAGGAGACGAGAACAACAAATTTTTTCATGGGCTGGTCAATAAACACCAAAGATCACAGAGGATAAATGGTCTAAAAGATAATGAGTTTTGGATTAGTGATCCTGAACAGATTAAACAAGTGGCGGTCAAGCACTTCTCTGAAAGATTCAGTGAGCCAATTCGATCAAGACCTAAGTTTAGTAGCCCTAAATTCAGAAAATTACCTCCTAACACGGCTATGCTTCTGGAGGAACCATTCACTTTAAAAGAGATCAAGTCGGCTATATGGGCTTGTGGTTCGGATCGGGCACCTGGACCAGATGGATTCTCTTTTGCAATGTTAAAGAGGCACTGGGATATGATTGGAAGCGATTTCTATTTTGCTTTAAAGCATTTTGAAGCTACCGGATATATTGAGAAAGGATGCAATTCATCTTTTATCTCACTTGTCCCCAAGATACAAGACCCAATTACTATAAGTGATTTCCGCCCTATTAGTTTAATCGGCTGCTTATACAAAACAATCTCCAAGGTTCTGGCTGAAAGGTTAAAGAAGGTGGTGCATCTGGTTGTTAGTCCTGTGCAAACTGCTTTTATCAAAAAGCGTTTTATCCTTGATGGCCCTTTGATATTAAATGAAGTGATAGCGTGGTTGAGGAAAATTAAGAAGAAAGCTTTTGTTTTTAAAGTCGACTTTGAGAAGGAATTCGACAGTCTAAGCTGGGAATATCTAGACTCAATCTTACAGCAGATGGATTTCGGGGCTAAATGGCGGGCATGGATTCATGGGTGCTTATCGTCAACAAGGGTATCTATTCTCATCAATGGGGCTGCGACGTCTGAATTTGGAATGGAGCGTGGGATCAGACAAGGTGACTCGCTATCTCCATTCCTATATATCATAGCTGCTGAAGGATTACATATTGCTATGGAGATGGCAAAAGAACAAGGAATTTTTGAAGGTATCCAGCTTCCTTAGCAAGGTCCGACCATTTCACATCTCTAGTATGCTGATGATACCATTTTCATGGGTTCGTGGTCAATTGAAAATGCGAAGAATCTGATTAGAATTCTAAGATGTTTTGAATTATCATCGGGCCTCAAGATGAATATGTGTAAGAGTAAACTGTTCGGATTTGGTACCCAAAATTGCGAATTGGAGTTGGTGGCACGGAACCTCAATTGCTCGATTGGTTCCCTGCCGTTCATATATCTAGGATTGCTAGTTGGGGCTTCTATGGCAAGAGCAGTACACTGGAATCCTATCATAGAAAAATTCCAAACAAGATTATTAAAATAGAAGGCATCTACTTTGTCGTTCGGTGGGCGTTTAACACTATGCAAAGCAGTATTGAGCAGCCTGAGTTCCTTTTATTTTTCACTTTATAAAGCTCCCGTCAAGGTTATAAAAACTCTTGAAAAGATTAGAATGCGGTTCTTTGGGGGGGGGGTGATTTGGAATCAAGAAAGATGTCATGGATTGCTTGGGAAAAGGTTCTTGCAGCCAAAGAAAGAGGTGGGCTTGGAATAGGCTCTCTAAAGGCACAAAATATAGCTTTATTAGGCAAATGGTGGTGGAGATTCAAAAACTATCCAGATAGCACATGGGCTGAGGTGATAAAAGCAATTTATGGCACTGTTGGCGGATTTGATAAACCCTCGATAGCAAAGAGAAGGAATGGATGCTGGGGAACAATTGCTAATATCCCTAAATTGTTAGCGAAGGAGAAAGTGTCTTTTATAGAACA